AGACTGATATCATTGAGTCTCTCAAGATTCAGAATCGGAGGCTGTGGGCGGACATGGATCCGAGTCACTTTAGGGTCAAGGAGGTTTACCGGAAGAAGGCGCGGAACCCCCACCAGGCCCATGTTGTGTTGCAGGTTTCGCCCCAAGTTTGGCGTAAGCTGACAGGGGCGGAGACTGTGTACATCGACATCCAGGGCCTGACTGCTGAGGATCAGTCGCCGCTGGTGCAGTGTACCCGTTGCTTGGGGTACGGCCACGGACGCAGACACTGTAAAGAGACGGTGGACCTTTGCAGCCACTGTGGGGGGGAGCACGACCGAACGAAGTGCCCCGCCCGAGTGGATGGGAGGCCCCCCGTCTGCAGGAACTGCGACCGGGCTGGGCTCCAGGAAACGGACCACAATGCGTTCAGCGGAGACTGTCCAATTCGGCGAAAGTGGGATGGTATCGCGCGTTCCTCGGTAAGCTATTGCTAAGGGCACCGCAGCTGGTATGGAATGTGAGGGAAGCTTTGTGGTCTACCAAGCCAACCTCCCAGCGTGCCCGTCTGGCGACTCAGGAATTGGTCATGTCTGCTCACAGGGGGAGAGTCGGGGTCGCCCTGATCCAAGAACCTTACGTCGGCGCAGAGGGGAGGGTCGGTAACTTCCGTGACGTCAGGGTCGTGCAGAGGGAGGACGCTAGGACCAAACCCGTCAAGGCCGCGGTCATGGTCTTCCATGACGACCTGGAGGTTCATGTGAACCCTCAGATAGTCACAGAGAATATCGTGGCTGCGGTTCTCAAGACGGGAGATTGGACCGTGGCGGTCGTCTCTGTATACCTCGAGGGCACGGAGGATATCGAACCATACCTGGTCCAGCTACGAGAGTTCATGGGGAAGGTCGGCACCAACAGGATCCTTGTGGGTGGCGATTGGAATGCATGGAGTCCGTGGTGGGGTAGCGTCGAGGAGGACACAAGGGGCGAGACCCTCAGGGGGTTCTTTGATGACCTGGAGCTGCACGTATTGAACAGAGGAGACGTCCCCACCTTCGATACGATCCGTGGGGGCAGGAGGTACACGAGTCATGTCGATGTTACCGTCTGTACCCACGGGTTGTTGAGAAGCGTCCGTGAGTGGAAAGTGGACGACTCCGTGACCAGCTCGGATCACAGAGCAATACGTGTGGTTCTGGGTCTCAGGGTTCCGCCTGGGGGCAACGCTCGGTGGACTACTCGACGTTTCAACACCCGGAAGGCTGAATGGGGTCGTTTCGCCGAGGAAATGCGTAGAGGGTTGGCAGAAAGGGGCCTCACCCCGGAGGCCATTGAAAGGGTTACCGACCGAAACCAACTAGAAACGGCGGTAACCCAGTACATACAGTGCGTGGAGGAGGCGTGCACTAAAGCCATACCCCCCCCCAAAACCCCCCAAACGTAAAAAAAAAACGCTTTCCTTGGTGGAACGATGAGCTTGAAAGGCTGCGTCGTGATGTAAACACGAAACGCCGCAGAATCCGATGTGCGGCGCCGCGTCGCAGAGAATGTGTGGTTGACGAATACCTGATAGCCAAGGCGGAGTATGAACGGAGGGTTGTCAACGCTCAAACGGAGGGATGGAAGGCTTTTACCTCGGTGCAAGAGCGGGAGTCTATGTGGGATGGTATCTACCGGGTACTGAGGAGAGCGTCGGGTCACCGCGAGGACCAGCTTCTCGTGGAGGGAGGAGTTGTGCAGAGCCCGGAACAGTCGGTGGCGTTGCTGGCCAGGACATTCTTCGCCGAAGACGACGACGGTACAGACTCTGAAGTCCATGCCGTCGTCCGAAGCCGAGCGGACCTGGTCGGCGTACGCTTACCTGATGATACCGATGATCCCCCGATCACCCGGGGTGAACTGGTTCGGACGCTGCGCAGCTTCAACCCTAAAAAGGCACCGGGTCAGGATGGATTCACCAGCGACATATGCTGGCACGCCATATGCGCGGGCGAACAGCTGTTCCTGACCATTCTGAACCGATGTCTTGACCTGGCGTGCTTCCCAGCGCCGTGGAAGGAGGCTTCTGTCGTGGTGCTCAGGAAACCGGCTCGTCCAGACTATGCCCGCGCAAAGTCGTACCGCCCCATTGGACTCCTTTCCGTCTTGGGCAAGATCTTCGAGAAAATTCTGTGTCGTCGAATCCGATGGCACGTCTTGCCCAAGTCCAATGCAAGGCAGTACGGCTTCACACCGCAGCGGAGCACGGAGGACACGCTGTATGACCTGATGCAGCACGTCAGAGGTGTTCTTTCCAGGAAAGAGACCGCCCTCATGGTCTCTCTCGACATCGAGGGGGCGTTTGACAACGCGTGGTGGCCGGCCATAAAGTGTAGAATGATTGAGAAAGGTATTCCCGTAAACCTAAGGCGTCTTGTTGAGGATTACTTCAGGGACCGAAGCGTCGCCGTGCACTACGCGGGAAGGACCGTGCGGAAACCACAGACCAAAGGCTGTGTCCAAGGCTCCATAGGTGGACCCCTGTTTTGGAACATGCTGCTGGACCCCCTCCTGGACAACCTGGATAGGCTGGGCGCGTACGTGCAAGCGTTTGCGGATGATATCGTGTTGGTGTTCTCCGGGCACACGGCACTCGATATCCAGCGGGATGCCAATGCCGCCCTGGCTGTAGCGCGGGAGTGGGGTGTCATGAATAAGCTGCGCTTCTCCGCCGAAAAAACTCAGGCCATGGTTGTCACGCGCAAGCTTAAGTATGACACTCCATTTGTACAGCTGGGCGGGGTTGACATCTCGATGGTTACCGAACTCAAAATCCTCGGGGTCATCGTGGACAGTAAACTAACTTTCAATAGCCACATTGCCTACGCATGTCGTAAGGCGACTGGCCTGTATAGGAAACTGTCAACGATGGCTCGGGTGGAGTGGGGCCTGAATTCGGAGATCATCAGGACGATATATACCGCGGTCGTAGAACCGACCATCTTGTACGGCGCGAGTTCCTGGGCGAAGGCCGCCGAAAAGATCTCTGTGCAAAGGTCCTTTGCTACCGTCCAGAGGGGATTTGCACAGAAGATTGCTAAGTCACATCGTACGGTGTCGCTCAACGCAGCGCTCACGCTGGCCGGTCTCCTCCCGCTCGATCTTCGGGTATGGGAGGTGGCCCGGTTGTTCGAGAGCAAACGGGGACGCCCGATCGACGAGCTGGACTCCCGCGAACTGGAGGGGCGTGTGGCCTTTACGGAGGCTCCTCATCCCGCCAGTGAGCCAGACGTAAGTTACGTTTGTTTGGACAGTATGCTCCCCGAACATGTAGCAGAGCTACACCTTCCCGCGCATCTGATTTACACCGACGGTAGTAAGTCGGATGACGGGGTCGGGGCGGCATACACTTACTGGCGGGATGGGGTTGAGGTTCGGACGAAGCGGTTGAGGCTGGAGAAGGTGTGCACCGTCTTTCAGGCGGAGTTGCTCGCGATAGCTAGGGCTACGGACCTGGTTGTCGAGAGGAACTTCGACGATGCGGCGGTGCTAAGCGACTCCCGTTCCTCACTCGATTTGATCCGTAACCCGGATACGCACCATCCCCTCGCTACCCATATTCGGCAGAATATCAGGGAGTTGCAGGGGAGAGGTAAAACTCTCCGGTTCTGTTGGGTGAAGGCTCACGTCGGGATACCCGGCAATGAGCGCGCCGACGAGTTGGCTAGGCTGGCGGCCAAGTCGAGGGTTGCCCCGGCCTATGACAGGTGTCCGATCTCATATGTCAAACGACGATTGAGAGAGGGCGCGGTCCGGCGCTGGAACAGGAGGTACACCGAAGGAGCTGCGGCGGAGGTTACTCGCATGTTCTTCCCTGATGCATGGTGCGCTTATCGGACGACGAGGTGCCTCGACAAGACGTCAGGGTGGGCGCAAGTGCTGACGGGGCATGGAGGTTTCGCGGCTTATCTTTTTAGATTTAAGCTCAAAGATAGTCCATCATGTGTGTGCGATCCTGAGGTGGCCGAAACGGTGCAACACCTCCTCTTCGAATGTCCTGTGCATGACCGCGATAGGTGCGACCTGGAAATAAGTACTGGGATTTCAATTAACGAGAATAACATCGCGAAACTCATCGCAGATGAGCACTCCAGGCCGCACCTAGAACGGTTTTGTATGAAACTAGTGAAAATTGCAAACGATAGAAACAAAACAAGGAGGTGATTGCACCGTTTTTTTTAACCTTTTAACAATTTTAAAAATTTTTAACTTAACTTATTTAATTTATTTAACTTTTAACTTTTTAATATTTTAATCTTATTTATTATAACTGGAAATTTATTAATTATTGGCATTTTAAATATCGGCTATGTACTTAGGTTTAACTATTTTAATTATATTAGTTTAAGAATTTGTAATCAATAATAATGTATCCAACAGTTAAGTTCATTTATACAATTTTAGAGAATTATTTTATATTATACCATGATAGTTTTTAAATTTAAATGTATATAATTTTAAGCAATATTGTAAATTGAAATTTTATGTCTGTTGGAACAAAATAAATAAAACTGATTGTGTCTACTCCCCCTTAGCTATAAGAAATAGAAAATAAATAAATAGATAGATAGAAAGATACACACTGGTCAGAGGTATGAAAGGGATGGATGAAAGAAAGATTTAGTATGAAGTATGAAAGGCCATCGTGAGTGCGAGAACTTGTATGTAAGGATTTAACAAACAAATGTAAACAAGGTCTCTGACCACGTCAGAGGGAGCTATTAAAAAAAAAAAAAAAAAAAAAAAAAAAAAAAAAAAAAAAAAAAAAAAAAAAAAAAAAAAAAAAAAAAAACCTAACCTAACCTAACCTAACCTAACCTAACCTAACCTAACCTAACCTAACCTAACCTAACCTTTTTTTTTTTTTTTTTTTTTTTTTTTTTTTACTTGGAGGAATCCTATTACGGACTTCCCGTGCCTGGGCAAATTTAGTGACACGGGGGTGTGTGGGGCTCGACCTAAAGGCGTTCGGCCACTACCCACTAAACCTCCAAGGCCCAATCCTTTCGTAGTAGCCGAAGTCCGGTGACTGGTGTGTCCATTGCTCCGGGCTTCGACGTACGTCCGCCGCTCAGCGTCATTGACGCGCGGCTCTCCTGCTGTTGCCGTCTGCTTGTTGTGTGCTATTATTCTAAAAAAGTATAAATAGACACACACGTTCTATTCGTCCCTCAATAAAGGGACGAATGAAAACCTATAAACTAAAATAATGCATTAAACTAAAACTAAACAAAACGTATAAATATATATATATATATATACATGTTTATAATAATTAATTTATTTACACCTTAATTTATTTACACCTTAACTACGGGATGCGACCGGCGTATCTTCGCCGCCGCCCTCCGGGTCTTCGACGCCTCGCCTGAGTGGCCGCAGGGTCGACTTCCCTCTCCCTTTCGGCCGTCTCCTTCCGTTTCATGATGGACTCTGCGAAGACGTTGAGAGCCTCCCAGAGTTCCTTCTTTTGGGTGATGCGCTGCGCGATGTGCGCCAGCGATCTGTCGTGTCCGGTGAATAGGCCGGCTATGGGCAATCTGTCGTTTGCCCATGCCGGGCAGTCAAATAGGGTGTGACTGGCTGTATCAATAGCGCAGTCACAGTGGTGGCAGGCGGGTGACTCCTCTCTTCTGGCTATTTTGAAAAGGTATTTTCCAAAACAGCCATGGCCGGTCAGTAACTGAACCAGCCAATAAGAGGGAGCTCCCCACCGCCGCCTCGTCCAGTCCTTGAGAATAGGTCGGAAGGCGTCCAGCGTCCATGAGCCGACTCTTGACAGAGCTAGCTCCTCCTGCCATTTGGCGAGCACCCAGTCCTGGGTCTCAGCTCGCCAGGACCTGAGCTGGTCCTGTGATGGCTCGGTTCCGACTCTTTTGAGGTCAGCACGGCGCCAGTAGATCTCCGCCAATGCAGCGGCATCCAGGTACCAGGGTGGGAGTCCGGCTATCACACACACAGCGTCGCAAGACACTGTGCGGTAAGCCCTCGCCACCCTAATGGCTATGGTGCGCTGCGACCGACGAAGAATCGCCTTATTAGTTGCAAGGTGCCGAGCCTCATCGCTCCAAATGGGTGACCCGTATAAGGCCACCGATCTCACCACGCCGGCGAATAACCGGCGCCGTTTCTCGCTTGGGCCGCCGATGTTTGGTAGAAGACGACCAAGAGCTGCCGCCGTCTTGTCCAATTTAGGAGCAAGAGCGGCGAAGTGAGCCCTAAAGGACCATCGACCATCCAGGACAAGTCCTAGGTATTTGATGGTCGTCTTCACCTCAATCGGGGCGCCCCCGACTATTATCCTTGTTCCAGAGGGTGGGGCCCGTCTGGAACCAGGGAAGCAGATAGCCTCCGACTTCTCAAGGGCTACGGTCAGGCCCAGCCGACGAATTCGGGCGACGACCTGCGCCACTCCCGCCGTAGCCTTGAGACTGACTTCTCTTAGGTCTTTGCCGGATGCTACGACCAGCGTGTCGTCGGCGTAGCAAATGACTTGCACACCACTACACAGCGCTGCCCTTAGCACCCAGTTATAGCCTATGTTCCACAAGAGTGGTCCTAGGACAGACCCTTGTGGAACTCCGCACGAGACCCCGTGCTCCTGCCAGCTCGTCTGGCCAGGGAAGGCGATCTTTCTTCCCCTGAAATAGTCGATGATGATTCGTTGCAAATACTTGGGGACACGATGGTATTCGAGTCCCTCAAGTATAGAATCCCAGGGGAGGGTGTTAAATGCATTGGCGATGTCTAATGACACCGCCAATACAATTCCCCCCTGTGAAGTTGTCTCGTCCGTGATAAGGCGCAGACGGGCTAAGGCGTCGATAGTGGATCTCGAGCGCCGAAACCCGAACTGCGCGTCGTCTAATTCCGGTCCGTCCGCGGCAAGGTGCCTGTTGATGCGGTCGGCGATAATCCTTTCAAGGAATTTGCCAACCTCGTCAAGGAGCACAATGGGTCTGTACGCAGACGGAGAGTCCGCCTGTCTGCCCGACTTCTTCAAGAGCACGAGCCTGCCTGTCTTCCAGCGGGAGGGAAAACGTCCCTCAGTCAGGCATCGGGTTAATAGTTCCGAAAAACCTCTTGCCAATTCCGTTCTTCAGAGCAAGAGCCAGCACTCTTCCGTGAATCCCGTCGGGACCCGGGGCTGTTCTTTTGCCCTGCAGTTTGTTTACAGCGAGCAACATTTCACCCTCAGTCACCGCTGGGACATCATTGGGTGTTGTCGCAGTAACGGCGTCTGTCCATGCACTGCTCGAGGGGGGAGGGGCGGATGGAAACAGGACAGAGACCACTCGAGATAGGAACTCCGGCTCTAAGGTGGAAGTGAGCGGAGGGGACCAGGGGCGCAGCCTGCTCATTATGAGCTTATATGGCCGTCCCCAAGGGTCCTGTTCCAGGGTCTCGAGGAACTCTGTCCATGCCCTCTCCTTTGCAGCGGCGATCTCCCTTTTTAGGGTCCTTCTCGCCTCTCTGTAGACCTCGTACAGCCGATCCTCTTCTCCGGGATCGTCCAGTGCTCGCCTTCGTCTGTGACGGGTGTACTGGCGACGCGCGGTCACGCATGCTCTGCGCAGTAGCGTAAGTTCACTCGACCACCAGTACACCTGTTTTCGAGGCGGTCTAGCGCGGATTCGAGTCATGGAACAGTCGGAGACATGTTCCAAGGCTTCAGCCAGCCAGTTCGCTTCGCTCTCCGATGATGGCTCGTCGGGTTTGGGACACCAAGCCGTGATGAGCGATGCCAACTCCAGGTCGTCCTTTTTTAGAGACTTTAAGGACCACCTGGGCCCAAACTCCGGCGGGCCGCGTCTTAGGCTGTTCGGAGCATCTGCTGATGGGAGGACGTTCCACCGTATATACCGGTGGTCTGAAAGGGTCTCCACATCGGTCAGTACCTCCCAGCCTTGGATTCGGCTGACAATGGAGGAGCTCGCGAAGGTAACGTCTACCACGGAACCCCCGCCCATGCGCACGCAAGTTAATTCTGTGCCCCTGTTCATGGGCACCAGATCATGTGAGGCCAGGAATTCAAGAAGCGCCTCTCCTCTTCCGTCCGTAGTGGCCGAGCCCCAGGCTGCAGCTTTGGCGTTGAGATCACCCGCCAAGATGACGTGGGGACAGTTGAATCCGGTTATGATGGAGGCCACTCCCCCCAAGTAGGCCTCAAACTCCGCCAGGGTTATGTTAGGGGAGCAGTAGGCTCCCACTATCAGCGTGTTGCGAAGTTTGACCCCAACGCAGCCGTTGCCCGCCCTAGATAGTCTGACTGGAGGTGTGTCGCTGATGTTGTTGTTCAGGACGATTGCCACTAATCCGTCTAAGTCCCCAATCCAGTCGGATCTATCCAGGACGTAATATGGTTCTGTGATAAGTCCGAGATGACATGACCACTGCGCTAAGCTTTGGACGAACAGGTCCTGAGCTCTGGCGCAGTGGTTTAAGTTCGCCTGTAGAACTTTGTGTTTCATCCTATTGATGTCCCACGATCGTAACTTCCATTTGGTCCCCGCTCGGTTGGGACGCCGCCGATGTCATGGCGATAGCTCTTCTTGGTATACGTTTCTTGGGGGCCGAGCATTTTGGACCTCCCAAGCGATGGTTGGCATTCTTGCTGTGGGATGCGCAGACCACACAGTGTGCCTTCTCCTTGCATTCCCCAGCGATGTGATCGGGTTTGCCACACCTGTAACACAGACGGCTGCGGTCTTCCTCCTTGCAGTGCCGTGCCACATGGCCCGCCTGTAGGCACCTGTAACATCGGAGTTCTCTGGGTGCCCCGATGGCGAATTTGGGCACCGTCCACCCCAGCAGGATCTTCTCGTTTGCCAGTCTCTTCGCAACGGTGACGGGCACTTGTACCCATGTTGCGAAGAGGCCTGACCTATCCTGGCGAATTTTGCCCACTTTCACTTGCGCCGCGGCACACTCCATCTTGGAGACGATGGCATTGGCGAGGTCTTCAGCGGTGACACAGTCCGCCAGGTCCGTGACTCTCATATCAATGAGTTTGACGGGCCTGGAGATGCGGATACAGTCACCGCCGACGGCCTCCCTCAGCTTATCAGCAAGTAAGTCCGCCTTCGGGTCGTTACCAGCTCCCGGTATTTGGAGTATCGTGGCTCCGGTAACGGCCCTGCGGAACTTGACCGATTCGATACCGATCGTCTCCTTTAGATCTACTTTTGCCTGCGCCTCTTTGAGGATGGAGGCGTAGGTGACTCCTTTTGCAGCGGCGTCATCAGAGAGGGTGATGACCACCGCTGCGGACCTGGGCGTTTTGAGTTTGGTTTTAGGCGGAGGTCGCCGACTGGCCTCCCTCGCCTGCCCCTTTGGTCGAGACTGCTTGCGCCCTGTATTGGGCTGCTGTCGAGTTTGTGTTCTTCTTGTCTCCTGTGCCTTCTTTCCCTTTTTCTTCTTTTTGGTTACCTCTGTCCATGTCTCCTCCCTGGAAGGAGGCGGCAGGGGCAGAGGTCTTGTTGTCGTATCCTTGACTTTGGCCTTTTTGGCCTTGGTGCCGTTGTCCGCCGCACCAGGCCGCCTGGCCTCTGACGAAGTCGTGGCCGGTGCAGGTGTTCTAGTCGGTGGTGCCTGCGTCTTGTCCGATGCCAGGGGAGGTCTGAGGCGCCTTTCAGGCATCAGGCGCCCCTCTATCCCCTGGAGCTTCGCGTCCATCATTGCGCCGATTTCCCTCATCAGGGACACGCGAAATTCTCCTTCTTCTCTGTCCGTCCTCGTTGCCCTTGGGGATGAGAGGTTGTCCAGGTCCGCCCGTAGGCGGGCCTGACCGTCCCTCAGCATCCCCAGCTCTTGTTGGAGAAGCGCGTTCTTGCGCTTCTCCTCCTCGAGCCGAGCTTGGAGGATTTCCGCTTCCTTCCCGCTGGTCCTCTGCAGGAGGACGTCCTTGGCCTCTCCCAACAACGCCGCCGACGTCTTCAGCGCCCGGACCCATCCTCCCTTCAGATTCCTAGAGTTCGTAGCC